TGAACTCTCGACACCACTGGCACCGGTTGATGTATATTATTTACTAAATTTTTACTCGCACTATCCATACCAAATGATTGTGCTGGAATGGCACTTGTTCCGCCGATCATCGATGTGGACATCACTTGACTTGAGTTGTTAGAAGAAGCTGCCAGGAGCTGCTGAGAACCCATCGACGTGGACATAAGGTGTGAAGGGCCGCCGTTGTTCAGACACAATTTTTGCGGCTGAATTGGGGCGATTGTGAATTGACTCTGAGATTGGTTGACGGGCGACTTTGGGGATAAAGGAGGCGGCGGGTGATTCGGTTGTGCTGTCAAAATTGGCTGGTGGTGCTGTTGATGGATGGACGAAGACTGCAAAAGATAATATAATAGTAAATATGATTTTTCTAAAAACAGCAAATTATTCTTTTCTAATATTGATTTTAAGTCATCTAACGACTATTTTCACTTGGTGTGTTATTTAGATCCATGTAACAAAAATGTCACTTATTATTTACCACATTGTTATGAGGAGGTACAATCGGTGGTGGTGCATGCATATCCGACTTGATATTTCCCGGCGGACAGCAATCTAAGGATGAGGCTCCAGGCAGTGGTGGTGGTCTTTTATTTTGTCTTGCTGGTGCTGTCGGCGGCATGTACCTTGAAATAAAATAAAATCAAAATAAATGAATCACTGAGAGATTAAATAATAAAATAATTCTTATCAACTATACAATAAATGTTATCACCGATAATTTTGACATAATACTTATAGACTCCACCCAATCAGTCACGAAAAGAAATATCACTAATACATTTGTATGAATAGATTTTGTTAAAAGCCTTCAATATGCATGTATAAAATTCTTTTCTAGAAAAAACTTCTAATTTACAGCCTTAATAACAATCGAAATATTTGTTCTGATATTAATAATATTAAAGCACTTGCTAGATCGTTTATATAAATTAAGGTTTTATTCAATACTGTAATTTATTTGATATCCATAATGTTTGATACAATAATATCGATCAAATTATATATTATTTGAATACTTTTCTTACATTCGGACCTATTTGTAATTTGGTATAACAATCAGTCATATATGTAAGATGATATCAAAATTTTGTCTTTTCTATGTATTTTGCGAAAAAAATTTACTTTGATACATTAAGTTTCCCCTTAATACATGTTTGATCATAATCAGAATCATGTGAGGCTTTTTGAGGGAGGGGGGTTTAACAATAAAAAAAAATACGAAAAATCATGTGGAGGAAGAAGGAGGGGCCTAGTAGAATATTGCGTGTATTTATTTTTTACCTAAATTTTCAAAAAAAAATTGCGATTTTTTCGTTAATCGAACTAAAAATACTAGTGCAGTAAACGGAGAGGAAAAAAGGGTATAACCTCTGAATTTTTTTACTGTACTGCTCCGAATTGAATGAAATTTTGGAATTATGTTCATCTTACCCTCAAGTTCAAAAGTGAAAACAATTCGGGTTGCGCCATCACCCCCCCGGGGGATGACACCCCCCTCTCAATTGTGTAATTACATTTTTTCAAAATAACGTCGGAAATCGATAGAAGAACTAATTATAAGAAAAAAATGTCTTCTATAGTTTTTCAAAAATAATACTTTTCAAGTTACTGGCCACTAAAGATTCATATATTTTTGGCGTTTTTCTTCGTTTTTTTGCAAATATCTCCTAAAATATACATTTTAACGGAAATCATGTAATGAACAAAATAATGTCAATAAAAATCTTAATAAATCGGTATTACATAAAGTGTTCTAGGAAAAATATTAAGCAAGATTTGAAAGAGCAAAGTCGTTTTTTATTTCGTTCAAGATTTAATTGTTGTATTCAAAACCATCTAGTGTCGAGGTTTTACATTTTATGCATTTCGGTGAAATTGGGTTTTATAGTGCTCAACATAAGCTTTAAAATGAGTGCTGTTACAAGTTTTTTGCGTGTAAAATGAGTGAGCTATCATGCAAATAAGAAGCATATACGAAGTTTTTTTCTTTTAAATCATATGGTTTAATGAGCGCCATTTCCACCAGAATTAAAGTAATTCACATTCCATCTAGAATTCACTTCATTATGGACATCTTGATGGATTCTAGCAGATTCACTACTTTAGTACAAACTATTTTCAGAAAACTCACGATTTTATAAAAACTTTTCTTCCATTTTTTTAAAAATCGAAATTATTTTCATTATATCTCAAAAGAATAAAAGATACGTATAAAAGCATATAGATAAAAGTCAAAGGGATCTTTCTGGCTTATTTTTGTTTTTTTTTATTATTTTCTTTCACACAAAAATTGACAGAGTTATGAATGTTTAAAGACTGCGCGGCCGCGCAAATTGAAAAAAAAAGTTTTTATAAAATCGTGAGTTTTCTGAAAATAGTTTGTACTAAAGTAGTGAATCTGCTAGAATCCATCAAGATGTCCATAATGAAGTGAATTCTAGATGGAATGTGAATTACTTTAATTCTGGTGGAAATGGCGCTCATTAAACCATATGATTTAAAAGAAAAAAACTTCGTATATGCTTCTTATTTGCATGATAGCTCACTCATTTTACACGCAAAAAACTTGTAACAGCACTCATTTTAAAGCTTATGTTGAGCACTATAAAACCCAATTTCACCGAAATGCATAAAATGTAAAACCTCGACACTAGATGGCTTTTGAATACAACAATTAAATCTTGAACGAAATAAAAAACGACTTTGCTCTTTCAAATCTTGCTTAATATTTTTCCTAGAACACTTTATGTAATAAACGATTTATTAAGATTTTTATTGACATTATTGTTCATTACATGATTTCGTTAAAATGTATATTTTAGGAGATATTTACAAAAAAACGAAGAAAAACGCCAAAAATATATGAATCTTTAGTGGCCAGTAACTTGAAAAGTATTAGTTTTTTTGAAAAACTATAGAAGACATTTTTTTCTTATAATTAGTTCTTCTATCGATTTCCGACGTTATTTTGAAAAATGTAATTACACAATTGAGAGGGGGTGTCATCCCCCGGGGGTGATGGCGCAACCCGAATTGTTTTCACTTTTGAAACTTGATGGTAAGATGAACATAATTCCAAAATTTCATTCAATTCGGAGTACAGTAAAAAAAATTCAGACCTAAAACGCTCCGTTTACTGCACTAACACGCAATATTTGGTGGAGACGTATCACCGTCGGGAGGGGGTCCAAAAATCCCTAAAAAATCGATCACGTGATTAATGGACACCCCTGAATACCGTGGGGCTCATGTAAAATTTCTGATATCATGGCGATTAACGTGTTAAAGCCTGAACAAAATATAGAACTAGTGGTGTATAACATCGTGCCATAAGACAAATTGCTGGAACTTTCCGAACCAGAATTAAATATTCATGCAAAAAAATCAATAATGAATGAATAACGATCAATGGTTAAGTTATAAATTTTTCAAAATATTTTTAAATAGATAGTTATAATTACTATATATATCATCGTTCATTATAGAGTAATAGTGATGAATTTATCACCAAAAACACTTAAGAATGTTTACATTAATAAAAAATCGCGAATTAATTTATCTGAGGATATATTTTTTAGAATAACACTTATAAAACTTCATTTTATATTTAACTTCCCGTAGGGTAAGTTATAGTAATCGCAAAAAATCGAAAATGCAATTTTTACATATCTTTATACTTTTTTAGAACAATATATTTTATAGAATAACGTATGTGAAATGTATATACATTTTTAAATTGAATTGTAAATTTAGGATTTATATTTGGAGTATCAAATTTATGTATTTTTGAAAATTTTGAAGAAAAAATTCTTGTTTAAATCGTATAAGTGAACACTAAAAATTAAAAATCTTGGACCTACAAAAATTGTAACAAAATTAGTAGGTACTCATTTTTAAAACCTCTAAAATATCTGATAATTTCATGTGCAAATGTCTAATGATCATTTTTGACCGCTAAATGGCAATTTATTTACATTTTTTTATTGAATCTCCAAAATCGCTAGACCTGCCAGTCCAAAAATTTCATCAGTTCTCAACTTGTCAATAGAAGTAAAATGTTTTTTGAATTATTAGAATCGGACGCTCTGTTCTCTTAAAAACTGAGTTACCGTTTTTGGCATTTTTTGCCCCAAATCTTCGGAATGACTAGACCTGCCTTTGCCAAAAACTAATCACCACGTCTTCTCATCAACAGAAATCGAATGTTTTTTCAATTATTCAAATAGGTTGATCGGTGTTGCCGAAATCGTGGGCGAAAAATTGTATCCAAACACACACACAGACATATATTCATTTTTTCGAAGGTATGCCAAAATGTTCTTTGAAAAGTAAAGATATGCAAAAATTTTCATTATCAATTTTTCTGCGATTACTATAACTTACCCTACGAGAAGTTAATAATTTCTATAACATGATACGAAACGATAAATACTTAATTGATTTATAAATTTATGATTGGATTTATTTAATTATATCTAAAGGAACAAATATGATACATTAAATTTCCTAAAAAGGGTGATAAAGAAAATATATATCTAATGATAATAATGAGGGTAGTTAGACATATGTTAGATATACGGGAGTTAATAAAAGGAGAAAAAAAATATTATAGGTCAATGTCAGTCATATATGTGTGACATAAAAAATATTGTTTTTCCAGGAATTTTGTCAAAAAAAAGACTGAAGAAAAAGCTGCCCGAAGATAATATGGAGGAACCTTAGAACTACCATAACCTTATATGAACAGAATAGTAGAATCACTTATTGAAGTGATTCTCTAAATATGAATGTAACATTTATCCGATAAATTTTTATGTGTGTTTGAAAGTGTGTGTATGTGTGCGAGTGAATGACATAAGCCAAATAGCTCATAGAATTGTCATGTATTCTGATTGCTATTGAAAAAAAAAATAAAAAAAAAAAGTTTTCTTGATATATTTTTAACTAAATTATCTAATAAAGATACGTTTTTATATTATCTTGGCGATTAGCGTGTTAAAGCATAAACAAAATATAGAATAAAGTTTCAAGTTCTTAGGAAATATTAAGTCTAAAATTTATCTTACCAGCAGGGTGCGTGATCTGCAAAAGTCAGTCCTACAGGTTGGTGGTGGTACCTTTGATGAGTGGCGAGTGCCGCTGAACTCTGCGCGTCCCTTGCGGTGTTCATCGCACTCGTGTGCCCTTCACTAATCGGCCCTTTGGTCACCCTTCAAAACACTCTCGTAATACAATAATAATTAACGTTTCTCAGTATCTATATCCCGAAGAAGTTTCAAAAAACCAATAATCATAATATAAATTCACAACTCTAGCAAGTTCCTCCTTATGCTGAACGTAATAGTAGATAAACACATATATCTATTATCCTATAAATTTAATTCCGTGCAAGTACTATGCACTGATCACGTTCTTTCTTCTTTTCTTCAAGAATAACCGAAGTCGTGGATTACAATCATCACTAAATTTTTCCACGAAATCTGTTCCAGTAAATTCGTTTGATGTTATCTCGTGCGAAGGACAGAAGTTCCGTTTTATTACGTGTTGTTTGCAGGTTGACGCAATAGTAGACACCAAAAATGGACTTCCTTTCTGGTAGTTAGCAGCTACATGCCATGACCGCATACGACTGAAAATAGAAAAAAAAACTCATTAATTATAGAATAAACAATATTATATAAACAATGATTTAAGAAAAAATATTACTTGTTTGGATTTTATTAAAGCATGTATCTTATAATGATATCTATATGTAGAAGTCTCAATACTCCGAATGCAAAATTTGAGGAAACAAAAACTGGATCAAATCTTATATATAAAAGAAATCGCAAAATGTGTTTTTGGTTAATTGTTTTTTTAAAATGTTCGTTGAAGTCCAAGGATGGTTCTTACGGAAAGAAAAAACGAATAATTTCCAGGGAAATCCTAAAAGCAGCCCTTTTCTTTTTCTCATACAAACGTTTTCTAACTAAAACGTAGAATTAATTTGAGCCTTACTGCTATTATATAAAGCTCATTAAATTACAAGCACTCCCTGTATACTCCTTCTAAACGATTATTCGGTTTTTGATAAATCTGAAGTTTGTTAAGCAAATTTTCTAGGATGTATGTGATTATAAAGTTATAATTATAAAACTGGGATGTATGTGCAATATTATTGTTTGCATTAAAAATAAATGAAAACTATCATCTGCCAAAAATTTCAATTTACTTATTAACCTAGACAATATTAGAATATGTATAATATATTTATGATTATAAATAAGAAAAATGAAATGTCTACATTATTATTGCTAAAAACCAGCTGATATGTACCAGAAATTAAAATAATATAAAATACTGTATATGTATGGCAGATTGAATGATACACATATGAATAAGATATGACAAATTTATTCACTTGAAATATGAAATTAAATCAGGGCATGTCCTACCTTTAATACGATGCATGCGAGAAATTCGAGCGCACGCCTTAGGGGGCGCCAACACAAGATTCGGATATTATATTTTCTATATAGTTTTTTTTTTCAATATATAATTTTTTGCATTTTGTACTGATCTTTCCACAATATTAAATAATAATAATATACAATTCGGTCGCCTTCACGATATCGATTAGGAGAAGTTTAAGATGCAATTTTGGATACCTTAAATAATAAAATATTAGATTCATTTAATCTAACATGAAGTACCAGCATTGTGTTATGGTTATGGTTATGTTATACTGTTTAAAAAACTTCAATTTCCAATATAGTGCGCGAATTGAGACTCATCATTCTATTTAAATGCAGTTCTACATTTAACATCGCTCATATTATAAACGTATTTGCATTTTGGCGTGAAGAGTAATTTAAACAACAATAATTACTATTTTTAGGTAAACGGTAAACATTATTTTATTATATTAAAAAATTATAGACATGGGTACAGGACAACATCTGTTGGGTCATCAGTGATAAATAAGAAGTCACTTTTTTATTACATAACTTGCTAAACTGCAATTGGAGGATTTATGCATCTAATATGGTTTGAACAATATACCTTGGTTTACCCTATCGAGTAGGACCTTTGAGTTTAAACTGTTGTGTGAAATATATAAAAACCTTAGCTAATATGCAAAACGACAAAAATTAACAACGAAAAAAATTCCTTAGTTAAAAAATTGGCCATGGTCGTTTATCTCCTGATATTGAGGTCGTCAAATTTAAGGTTATGGTCGTTTTACATATCTTTTGCCTTTTACTTTAAAATAGTATCATAAAAAATACCATATTTTACTTGTTTTTGAAATAATGGTGGTGGACCTTTAACTCCCTCTCTAACCTACAGCATATCATGATATGTGAAACTATACTAAAACTCTTTACGATAAATAGGGTTTGGCCAAATTCAAATAATGCAAGTTGCATATATTAATTATCTTTTATCAATAACTGAATATTTTCTCTCGATTTTAAAACGATGTAAATATAGTACATTCTCGAACACTGCCAAGGAACATTATCGTTTTTCTCGAGTCTGCATAAAAATGTAATAACGATTGACCTGAATGCAAAAGTACTTTATCAACATTGCTGATACTGTAACAGAATGGTATTTTATGGCAAAATTCTATCGAAGTCGTTATAGAACAAAGTAATTACTGTGTTCAAAACATTTTACTTATCTCTGGATAATGGACATTAAATGACCATTTAAATATCTATGACGGTAAGAGAAATAAATCTTGTTCATAAATGCTAAATAAAACAAAGTTCAAAGAAATGAATAAATAAATAAATAGTTTGATTTTAATGTGATGTATTAATGAGGATGAACATATTTACAAAATATTTCTATTACATTCGAAATAAAAACACTTGTTTCTAATCATGATAATATCATTCTGGTACGTTCACCAGAACTATGAAGATCAAAATAAAAAACGATTTATTATTCACTGTGCATTCTAGGAAGACAAGGTCCATCTAGGATTCAAATTATTTAAATTTATTTATTATTTATTCAAATCGCATATTTCATGATATTCAGTATATTTCGAATAACTGCACGTGATTTCCGTAAAGTTTTTGCATCTACTACCTATACTTATAAAATAGCACGCAGTTTAACCTTGATTATTTAAAGTCCTTTTCAGATCATATGATTTTTTGTATCATATTGCAAACAACTGTAAAATATTTCAAACATTTTTGATTTGATCTTCACATACAAAACTAGTCTTGTCAAGGTAAGTTATGTGAATTGAATAATCAATTCACTTAATAAAAAAAAATGCAAATCATCTCGCGGTAAATGCAGTTTAGCTTGTTGACTTGATATTTATTTAATTATTTACATTTACATCACTGAAATCGCGACAATATGATGCTTTTAGTCTATTTTATATCTGTAACAAAATCCTATTTTAAGAGCGATTTAAATAGTAACACATGATTGCAACACAATTTATTGCTCTTAAAGAGCGAAAGCTTTCCATAAATTTCGCCTGGAGCCTTAAATTTCAAACTTTGTATACTGACTGTGATGTAGGTGGCATTTGTAGATACCACAAAAATAAAAATTAAACTAGTGGTGTATGGCATCGTGCCTTAAGGCAAATTGCTGGAACTTTCCGTACCGTATGAAATATTCGAGGAATATTAAATGTTTTCAAATAGATTATTATAAGTACTGTAACATTGTCTAATGTTTATGAGAATTATATGAACGGAATTGCAAAGTTGAAATTATTTATTTAAAGTATATAAGTGAGCTTTAGAACTTTAGGCAGAATTAAAATTAAAATCTGAATTATTTTCGATATGCAAAAAAATTGAAATCCCAAAAGCAATTGTTTTGCCAACACAAGCAGAAAGATTTTTGAATCATTCAAATCTTAGTTAGTTAGTTCTTTTAAAAACTGCCATTTTTTGTACACTTAACTTCGTATCTTGAAAACGACTGGGCCTGCCTTTGCCAAAAACTAATTACGTCTTCTCCCAATCATTACAAATTGAATGTTTTTTAGACCAATCTAATCGCATACTCCGTTCCTTCAAAAACTCGATTTGTATTTTAGCTAACTTTTGGAAAATTGAAAAATTTGACAAAAATTGCTATTTTTCGTAAAATTGAATATCTGAGTCCGAAACTATCAATGAGAGATTCTATGTTAACACTTTGGTATTTTGGATTCGAAAATATTCCAATTTATAACCTATTGTTTCATAAAAGCATACTTATTGTTTACATCATTTTCAGATATTTGATGGATATTTGTAATTTCATCATGAAGTGATTGCGAAAACTAAGTTTATACCTTAAATTTCTGAAAACCCGGGATACAAGGTGGAAATCCGGGACATGGTGGAAATAATTATTGATTATGGTGTTGATTCTATCGTATAATAGACCATAGTTATGGCAAGTTTGACAAATTTAGTACCATTTTGTATGAAATTTTATACCATAGTCTTGCCATAACATTGGTCTATTTTACTGCAGAAATTAATGTAAATGCGGCACCTATGTTTCGAAAAATTTACTTTTCTCTATACTTTGCAAAAACGTTGCAAAATGGTAATAACCAATGCAAATACATTTGATGAAATCATTTCAGAAACATGCGCTCAGAACAGATAATATTAAATTGAATAACGAAACAAAAATTCGGGTGTTAAAATCGTATACAAACTAACAAACACATTGAATGTGTCATTAGCACATATCCGTCAAAAAGCGAACTGACCTTACATACGACCACATTGTATTTATATCGTGTCACGATGTTTTTTTCTCGTTCTTGTTTTTTGTTAATCGTATTTGTATTTTGTATATTTGCTCCATAGTGGTTTCAATATAATAATAATAAGCGTCTGATGTCTGTGACGCGACTGATGGTGACTCACATTCAAGAGATTATCTCAAAAGTCGAAGAGATCGACCTTGGTGGCAGAGGTTATATAAATTATAACTAGTAGTATAATAAATTAATCAAATGTTATATTTAATTGAGTAATATCATACAGGTAGTGGAAATAAATATGTCTCAACTTTCATAATAAACCTAGGAGTAAGTGGCATGAGCACGGTTACCGATAACGGGTACAGACGTTTTTGAGGAAAGATTTGACCAAATTTTGACCATCTTATTTTTTTTCAAATTTTGATGAAATTGAAAATAAACCTTTTGCCGTGCAGCTGTTAATTTTAGTATGTTTAATGTGATCACGTGGTACTATCATCATTATAATGATAAAAACTTTCATCAAAATCGTCCAGTTTTTTTTTCATAGTTAATCTGGAAATAATAATTAAGAGTAGTATCAAGAAAGAATATAATATGAAAATCATTGTAATGATAAAATATTCAAGGTAATAATATAGGAAAATGTTAAAATAATTTGGAATAAAATTTAGAAAAAATACAAAAAAGGGCAAAAATAATTGGAACCGTTGGAAGAAAAGTTGTATCAGATATTATCAGTGAGCATTTCATTAACAAAATATTGATTGATTTCGAAATTGGCAAATTCAGATGTATCGTAGAAACTTTGATTTGAAAAACTATAAATTTAGACTACATCAATTAACACAAAAATATTAAATACATTAATTTCAAA